CTTTCTGTACCAGTGGAGATATTGGGATTTAATATTGCAGCTCCGCTACACAAGGTATCAAGGAAGAAGGCGCAATTGTGTCAGCCAACTGTCAAGTATTTAGGATTCCATTTCTCTGAAGGTAAAAGAACAATGGGACCTGAAAGAAAAGAAGCAGTGTGTCGAATACTGAGTGAAAGAATTCTTGGGAGCAGCAGGATTCTGTAGGATATGGATTCCTAATTATGCGATATTGGCGAAACCCTTGTATGAAGCTGTAAAAGGCATGGAACATGATCCCTTCCTATGGACCACAGAACAACAGAAGGCATTTTAAGATATCAAGAAAGCACTTATGAGTGCCCCAGCCCTAGGCCTACCAGATCACTTGCATCCTTTCTACCTATATGTGCATGAGCAAAGATGAATGGCCGTGGGAATGTTAACTCAGTACTTAGGATCGCCATGACAAGTAGGCCTGTAGCCTACTTGTCCAAACAACTGGATGTGGTGGCTACTGGTCTTCCACCTTGTCTACGAGCAGTGGCTGCTGCAGCTTTGTTGGTAGCGGAAGCTGACAAACTTACATTGGGTCGGAAACGAGTACCTCATGCAGTACAGACCCTACTGGATTACAAAGGTAATCATTGGTTCAGCAATAGCAGAATGACCAAGTATCAGGCTATGCTATGCGAGAATCCACGAATACATCTTGAGACTGTCAACAATCTCAATCCAGCTACCCTTCTGCCACAGACTGCTGAAAGTCAACATGACTGTCTGGAAATAATGGATGAAGTATTTTCTAGCAGGCCAGATCTCCATGATTTTCCCATCCAGAACCCATATATACAGTACTATACGGATGGTAGTAGCTTTGTAAAAGAAGGTATTCGTTATGCAGGGTATGCGGTAACCAGATAGAAGCACGACCATTTTTGAAAGGGACATCAGCACAGAAGGCGAAATTAATCGTACTGACAAGGGCCTTGCAACTAGCTGAGGGGTTGAGAGTGAACATCTATACGGATTCAAGATATGCCTTCTTAACAACTCATGCCCATGGAGCATTGTTTAAAGAAGGAGCTGTAAAGGTGGCAGAGGTGACACCTTGGATTCATCACTCTAGGGTTAAACCAGTGGCAGATTCCTGGCAAGCTAATCCAGATCGTGAGAATCCTTGCAAGATCCGGTTGAAGCGCATGACCCAGTCGAATTGAGCGTGACTTGAGAAGTATGAGTTGATTTTTGAAGAATCATGGTTGAAAGTTGCAGAGATCAACAAGTAGGTGTTTTGACGGCCATAATAAAGCCTGACCACCTGCCTACGTTTCATAGTCAGAGTATCTCAAAAGGGACCTCTGTGAAATTAAGTGAGGATCAGAAGTACTACAATCCTTGCAGCCCTCACAAGCGGGAAGCTGAGGTGCCATCGCACGGTTGAAGAATTAAGATGAGGATCACAAGAATAATGTGTTTAATTATGTGCTTTAGTATTTTTATGATTTTTCAGGAGGGTAAAGGTAAGGATATTCCAAACTGTGTTAGTTGTATTAAGACTACGAAAACAGGTAACCAGATATACCAGACCCTAATTTGGCACTCACAATATGAATGTAAAGGATCTGTGTCTAGGTGTAGGTACTTAGATACTGATTATAGTGTGTGTCATCTGATCAGGTGAGCCTAAGTGTTTCGATCCCCAATTCCAACCCCGTACAATTTGGTTGGTAATTTGAAATAGTAACTCTCAGGGGACATTGATAAATAGGACTTTGATAAGCACCATACATTCTATGGGTATTCTATTATTTGATGCATGTAAGGTGATTTCGGGTAGTAGAAAATCTTGGAATGTATGTGGTAATCTTTGTTTAACAACAAATATTTATGCCCTAGTAAAAGATCTACTGATC